TGATAATCACATAAACATAAGCTCTGCGGACCGATATTTCTTAGGCTGCTGGGTGTCTGTTAGCCAATAGGTTTGCGAGTATCGTCCCACAAATCGCAGTAATTTGTCAAAATGTGCACCAACACATTTTGTGGACCTGTAGGCAAATCTCCGACATCAATTCCTCCTCCTGGCAATCCATTTTACCCTCTAGCCAATCCTAAAGGAACGGATTTGAAATGTGAAGTCTGTTCGAAGCCTGCTTATTTACAATGCTCTCTGTGCCATGTGACTTATTACTGGTAGGCCAACATTTCAGCGATATCTTGGTATTTTACCTGCTTTTGCGTATTTTGAAATGTAATTTTAAGTGAATTCGGCTGCCATAACATAAAACAAGTCTTTATTTATTTTGATCATCTCAAATGAATACCATTTATTTAATAACTGAAATTGACTTTTATATACAAGCCTTATTTGTTACCCGAATGCCAAAGTGTTATATTTCTTATGTCGTTGAAATTTAATGGTAAAAGTAGGGTTAATTGAAAGGGAATTTTTTTATCAAGGCTTACGACTTGCCTTTGAAATGTCAACGGAAAATAGAGACAACCTTACATTTTGAAAACAGAATTAGCGCAATGCCTTAATAAAAAGAGCATTCTCTTTCCTCAGAAATGGTATTTTCTGGTCACAGGTTCCAGTTTAATATTCTAGTTTATTGCACTATATAGTAACATGATGCTACAGAATTATGTTTGCATGTCGACTAACGGTACGTTACAGAACCATTGTTTGCTAGAATTCAATTAGAATTCACTGTTTCAGTATGATAGGCATTTATAATTTCTATACTTTGCTGTTGTCAATATAAGGAAACCGATCTTCCGGTCGTTCTAGAGTCTTTCTTGCACAATTCCTTCGATAATCCAACAACAATAACTCTTTTATACGCCCACTTAACACCATGGGTGAACACCGATTTGCCATCGAAGTACATGCATGTACTTCGTTGGCAAATCGGTGTTCACCCAGTTTCGAACAACACCGCACATTTTTATAGGTGTTTTAGTTGATCAAATATGGACTACTTCATCAAATAAATTGTACAGTTTTCCCAAGTAACAGAAAAGATACATGATGCCTTACTTATAAGTTAGGTACGTGCCGACAGCCGGATTATGAATTGCGCTTAGATCGCAGATTTTTTTGGAGAGAGAAGAGCCGCGACATAGTTTATCTTTCTTTGCAGTTGTGTGTTTATAATCGCAAAGGTTTTGAACGTTTACATTTTGAAGGATTTAAGAAATAAAGTTCACGAGACAAAACGTCAAAAAAAGTTAGCTGTGCTAACCTTATATATTGGAACATGCCACACTCAATATTGTTTTTTTTGATGGGAACAAGAGGCATATGTATTTTATACTCAGCCAAATGCTGTTTTCAAGATGGCAATCGGAGTTGACTTTGGTAAGCCATTTAAGGCAAATGCGTGCGTCTTTCAAAGTCTGTGGATAATAAAAACGCAAGGTTCTATTTATCACCATAGATCCGAAGTTTTGACTTTTCAAAAAGCAGTATTATTTTCAATTCGTATTTGTGCTTCCGGATACAGGGCTAGATACTTGGGCGTCTAGGACGAGGTTAAGTACGAATCAGATATTCAATATCTGCTACGTGAGGTTAGGTCATATGGTTCAAACCATCTTAAAAGATTTCGTTGAAATAATATCGTCATTTTTGCGATCTACCGATGTCACTGTTAATTAAATTAACTCAGAATTAATTAAGATCTAGTCTAACATTTTGATTAACATACAAAATCCGTCGCTGCTGATTTAACGATTTGCAAATACAATCTGAAGATAAACGCAAAACCTGTTTGTGGCATTATTTACACTCAATATCCTATGAGATATCGCATGCATTATTCATAGAC